CAGTTTTTTTATGTTATATATTGTCATAGAACTATATATCATGAACCTTAATTAATAAAAAATTATAAATTGGCATAATCGTAAAATTATATTATGATAGTAAGCTTATAAAATCTTAAAATTTGAAATTAAATTAGGTAACGCTTGAATTATGTTGGCGTTTGCTCGGCTTCCACTATCATCTCACCAGTCACAATATTACTCTCTCCTCTCTTACTTAGTCCAAGCCACACAATCTCTACCCTCCGATCTCCAATTCATCTACGGCTCAGATCTCGTTCCGACCAACCCCGCGATTTCCTTCTGCCACCCTTAAGCTCACCTACCATTACAAACGTCTGTTACTTACTACAACGCAACCAAGTCTTTCTCTTTTCTCTATATATACACCTTCACTGTCTCTCGTTTACCCAGGAAATCTGTTTCATTTATTACATACATTTCTCAGGAAATCTAAAAATTCTACTAAACTAAAGCTTGATTAAAACATTTTAGAAGGACAAATCTATTAAATCTTAAATCTTGTATGTCCTGTCTTTCATTTAAATAAAAAAGAAAGAAAATCAATATCCTTCTGATAAAGATTATTCACTGACGAAAGATAATAACTAGAAGTAAAAAAAAGAACTTTTATGTTCTTCACTAAAGGAAAAAAGGTTTCACAAATTAAACCAAATTATTTATAAAAAAAAAAAAAAAAAAGTAATACTATATATACAATTATTTTACAAACTGAAGTGACAACCTTGTATGTTGATATATCATTTATTGTTATTTATTTATTTTAAATTTAAAATCATTCAATCACATTTAAATCCATTAATTTATATGAGTGAGAGTGGTTTATACAACGAGTTTGAACATATAGTATTATTCTTAAAAAAATTATAAGTTTCAACTATTAACTCATAATTGTGTTAGGGTCTTAAAACATGAACATTCGTAAGTTTAGCCTAAGTAAACTTAGACCCACAAGGTTTTTTTTTTTTGGAAACCTAGTAATCGGTAATTGCCTCTCCTATGATTCGAATAAACCTAATGAGTATAACTAACTCAGTGGCTAAATTATTTGTCATCCGATCAAATGGGAGAGTTTAGACTGAGAGGTTCGGTAGATTAACATTAGAATACAACCGTTAAGATTAAATTACAATTCCCCCCTAAACTACCTCCTATTACAAGAACTTGCATGTATAAAATCTTTTTTTGTCTTATCATTTCTAATTTAAAATCAATTAGTTTTAATAAAGTAAAAATAAAAATGTACATAACACATCATTCTCTCCATTATTTTCTTATTTTCTTCATTTCATTTCGTCTTGTCTCTTACCGCTCTCTTCCTCTCTCTCTCTCCCCCTCGTTCTCATTTGATCATTTCTCATAACAGTAAAACAATATCCTTGTAGAATACCGATACAATATATTGACATTGCTGTTAGGCCGATGGTAACATGTAAGAATCTTGACAATCAAATTGCTTAAAAACTCTTAATAAATAGTATACAGAGAGAAAAGTAAGTGTCATGAGTATGTCTTCAGTCTTATTATACACCTAAATAAACACATGCAATCCCAAGACAAGACTCAAATACACAACCGTTAATTAACTTCAAATAATTGAATTTTGTAACCAGAGTTATACTTTTACCTAAAAAGTTGTATATGATCTTTATATGAATATAACTACTTAATATGAAATTGTTTAGTGATTAATCAACTTTGTGATAAACTTTTGTACACTTTACTTTTTACATGTAACCATGATATATTTAACCACGTACTATCACCTCCTTACAAGGGTTTTTTTTTTTTTTTTTTTTTTTTTTCATCTTTTTCATTTCATGGCAACCATTCTAACACTATGGTTTTGATGAATTTTCTGGATCCAAATTATGTTGTTAGTATGAAGCCTTTGTAGAAATTGTGTTGGTTGGGTTGTGTGTAAAAGAGAAATATAGGCGACGGCGCTAAAAATTTTTAACATGTTTTGGGATTATTTTTGTAATTAATAATATTGAATAGAAAATATTCTAATAAAACGTGTGTGTAATATTATATATATATATATTTGGTTGGTAACTAGAATGTTCGGACTAGCTTGCGTGCACTTTAATTAGTCATCGGGACTCGGACTCGTTGACACACCCTATAAGTCCAATGAACATGTAAGCCTCAAAAGTGGTAGATAGTCCCAAAGTGGTTTAAACCCAGAAGTTAATGAAGGAACAAACTTTCTTATTAGCAAGACAACCCCTTGGGGTTACTTGTTTATAATTTCGTAATTGTTTGCATTGAAAGAGAGAAATATTCTAATAAAAAGATGTTTGTTATAGTTATTTATTCTTAATGGGTTGTGACATTTTTATATATTGACCAATTTTTTTATATTACTTGATTTTGTAATCCTTATTAGTGATTACAAAGGGTACTTACTATTTTAACAGATATTGTAGCTAGAAAACCAAGATTCCTAATGTCCAGGTGATCAGCTTTGGAAACTAAGTCCCTTAATTTTTACTATTTCAAAACGTTAGGGTTTTTAGTGTCACTTTTTAAAACCTGTGGAGCTTAGTGTTATTAGATCAAACCTTGAGGTATTAATTTTTAGCCCCCGTTAGTTCCCATGTATGACATAATTTACTAAAGAAAACTTGGTCAAATATGGATAAAGAGGGACTTACAAATACAATAAATAAACTAAGTTGAATGGGAGAGTCTGGGTACAATGTTCAGTATTCTTTTATCTCTCATTCATTCTTCTATTTCATTCAAACATAATTGGTCAAAACTTGATGGCCTATTCAACTTTTGCATATTGTGTAAAATGCATCAAACATATTTTATATCAACGCGTAATTTTGGATATTAATTCTAATAAATATTACAACTTTTAGATTCTATGCTTTAAATTTTATTTATGTTCAAGGTTGCCAATAGTTTTTTATTTATTTATATATGTCATATAACTATATACATGAATCTTAAGTTTTTAACAATCTTATGTGTTTATTTTTTTTGATATTAATTCGATTGATACATTATTTTAGTTTCACGAATTAAAATACACCATAATATTTAACCCGTCATAATATTCTATCTATACGTACGTATAAACAATCGAATGAAGCCCTAGTTAAGGAAAAACTTAATCCAGCCTATGTAGCATGGAAAAAGACTGATAATTCCTTGTTACTTTGCCTCTTTTAGCGTCGATTTATGAATGTATGTTCAGTTACATTTCTAAGTGTCAATTTGCTACTGAAATCTGGTACACTCTTGAAAATGAGTTCATCATTGACTCTAAAGCACGAGCTCTTCATTTGAAGAATCTCCTGCAAAATACTCGAAAAGGAAACATGAGTGTTAGTGAGTTTATTAAGAAAATGAAGGGCATTGTCGATAATTTAACAGCCAGTGGATAGGTTATAACTGATGAAGATTTACTTCAGTATTTATTAGATGGCCTAGGTCCAGAATTCGACGTTGCTGTTGTGAACCTAGCATCTAGAATTTAGTCTAAGTTTAACTCAGTATCTTTACAAGAAGCACAGTACCTGCTCCAGAAATATGAAATGCGACTAGAGAAATTCAACAATGTAGATTTCACTAATAGCTCAGTGCATATTGCTTCTCTTAATAATATTGTGTCAAGAGGATTGCAAGGTTCTACTAATGCTTCTGGAGGTACTAATGCATAGGATTGTAAACGAGCCGAGCCGAGTCGAGTTTTCGGCTTGTTTACTACAGTCTCGAGCTCGAGTTCGAGCTCGAGCCTGACGAGCTTGGGAATTGTGACTCGAACTCGAGCCTGAGCTCGAGTCGGCTCGCGGGCTGGCTCGAACTCGAGCTCAAGCTCGTTAAGGCTGGATCAAACCCAGGTTTGACCGAGCTAATTTCCCCTTTTTTACAGCCTGCTTACAGCCTTCCTACGTACTTCCTTCCTTCTTTACATCCAATGTTGAATTTACACAAAAAAAAAAATAATAAATAAATAAATAAATAAAAGAATAAAAATAAAAATAAAAAACATAAATAAGCACAATTCAAACTTCATAAACAGGTATGTCCAAAGAATTGAAATTTTGAACAATTGAAATCCAAAGCACAATTCAATCCAACCTTCCTGCGTACAACCTTCATTCTTTACATCCAATGTTTGTTTCTGTATTGTTTGGTCTTCTAGATTCCACTAAAGAAAGACACACATAGATGCATTAATTTCCTGTTAGAACATTATCCTCAAATCATAACCACAACACTCAAAGCAGATCAAAACATGGAAGCGAACCCAGAAAAGACTTATCAAAACAGTCAAGCAAATGAACTTAATTTCCTTATCAATCCAAACCATGTGCAATAACTAACCTCAAAAAGCATAAAACCAAAATTCAAAAGTAACAAAATTAGTTAAGAGAGTTGTTGATATAAACATAAATAAATGTACTTGAACTTGACGGGATCTGATCGTTAGGCTTTCTATTGAGCTTATTCTTTGCATATTTATTTGCTTTTCCACCGCAAGGAAACCAACCCATCACTTAAAATTCAGTCCTTAACCTCAAGAGTTTCACTCCAAAGAGAGAACAAAAGCAAACCAAACACCACTCAAGACACAGCAACAACACACAGAGAGAGTTAAAATAGTTTAGTTAGTATTTCCAACCATATTAACCATGACAGTTTCGGACTTTACAAAATGCCTAATACTTTACAAAATCAAAAAAAAAAAGTTCCAAATATATACAAATAACAGTCCAAGATATGAAAATACAGTCCACCAATCAAAATAACTATCCACCAGTAGTCTGCAGTAGGGTTGTCTTCGACCAAAACCACCATTTCCCCCTAGCTGTATAAAATGTTCAATTTAGTAAGTATTTTTTAAGGTAACTATGACAAGAGAAAAATATGTATAACCATGAAACAAAAGCAAAATGAATCAAACTTTTACCTATGCATGCCTCCTACCACAACCAAACGATGCACTGAATCCTAGGAACTTACGGGATAGGAAGGTTGATCTCCAACGGTTGCTGCTCTTCCTGAAAATGACAAATGAGGAGTAATTGAAGTTTAGTTAGTATAAATATAAAGTAATAATTAAATTTAATAAAAACAATATTCAATATAAGTATATAACCTACTTTGCATCCTTTCTTCATCCCATTCAAAGTCCTGCACCAATCACATCCACATAAGAGCATCTTCACCGTGTCGGGAGACAACGACAATCGGTACGTGTCAATAACCCTACTGCCAGCGTTGAAAGCAGACTCAGAAGCAACCGTAGTGATAGGGATGGCTAATATGTCACGAGCCATGGTAGACAAGATAGAGAACTTTGTTGAATTTGCCTTCTACCACGTCAAAGCATCAAATGTCGTAAGGTCCCCAACACATTTATGGCATCCCTCTCCAGGTAATAGTCTAACTCTGATTTAGTTGGCTCAACCGTCTCAACCACATCCAGAAACTCACTAAAATCATCCCAATCCTCCACCCTCTCTGCTGCTGCCCCAAGCCCTCACCAACAACCTCAACTCCATCTCCTGTAGATGTAGAAGCGCAGGCAGCAGTCAATGCTTTACTGGTATCAACATACTCCCTATATACCTCATACAAGGCATCTCGAACAACATCAATATTTTCCCACGCTTCACGCTTAGGGAACGACACCCATCAATAGATTACATTCTCCCCAATATTTGTCAAACTTCTCTTTCATTTTCCAAATCATGGACTGTATAAACTCATCTGCATCTTGACTCTTACTATCCAACATAATTTTGATTGTACAAACTTGTTTTTGAAACAAGTTTGATGTCAAATAATCACTCCCTGATATGAGATTCGATGCACCACTAAACACCTTCAAAATTGAACAAATTTTCTCAACTTTGTCCCAATCCTCCTCCTTGGGACAATAATGATAACTCAAATCCCTCTCCTTCAAACAAGGAAAAACACGTCTAAAATTCATTGCCATTGTCAACATATCATATGTTGAATTCCACCGTGCTTTGCAATCAAGAATAAGCTTGTGAAATGGCACTCGTCGTTGTTGAACAATCTTTGCAAACACCTTTAGTCTACTCTCCGATGAATTGATATACACCATGCTATCACGGATGTCCTCAATAATGTGTCTAATCTGATAAAGACCATCTTAAACAACCAGGTTCAAGATGTGTGCACAACACCTCACATGAAACATCTTGCCCCCACAAATGAGCTTCCCCGTAGCTTGGAAATTATCTTTCAATACTTTTACTGCAACATCATTGCTTGAAGCATTATCCACCGAGATCGTGTGGACCTTAGCTTCAATTCCCCACTCCATCAAACACTTGAAAATTGCATCAGCAATAGCAACACCAGAACGGGGAGGAGGGAAATGAATAAAGTTCAACACCCGTCTATTAAACTTCCAATTATCATCAATCCAATGCCCAGTCAACACCATGTATTCCATCCTCTGGTTGCTTGAATGCCATAGATCTGTGGTTAGACTTATCTTCCTAACACCCTTCAATATGGTTAGCAACTTCTGCCTCTCATTTTCAAACACTCTCATACAATCATTCTTACAAGTATTACAGGAAATTGGAATCCATTGAGGAATCCTGTACTTCATCATGTTGTTCAACCCCTCTTCCTCCACAATAGAAAACGGATGATCATGCATCAGCACCCAATGTGCAATAAGCTCCCTTATCTTCAGCATATCGAATTGGCCCCGTAGAGCAGGCAGGACAGTAGAGACACCCTGAGAACTGGAAGCGGGGAAATTTATTTGTTTTTGCCTTAAGTTAGCTGTTCTCTTTGCACACCTCTTCAAATGTCTATTGAATTATGTAGTGCTTCCAGTGCCAATCATTTTCAGCTTTATTTTACAATGAATGCACGCTGCCTTCCTTGTACCACCAAGGAGAACCACCCCCCTAAATTCTAGCCACACAGCTAATGTCTTCGCTCTCTTCTTCTTCTGTAGTGGATTGTCATTGTCCTCTACATTTTCGGGGCTACTCACACTTTGCTCCGTACCACCTGTGTTTGCATAAATGTTACACCAATCGACTGCTCTTACCGTAACACAATCGTCAACGTCATCCAATGTAGGGTGCTTAAGGAACTGTCTCCCGAGGCCATACCTACAATTGAAAAATAAGATACATTATTCTCTTTTGTTTTATATTGTTTTGAACATGGTGATATTCTGTCTTTTATAAATCAGGAAAACTGAAAATATAGAATGTGTTTAGTTTGAAGATGATATTATCAAGCAAAGATATGTATTATTTTGCAGTTTAAGCTATCAAAATACTTATTATAAGTTTGATAAGCCTAAAATGACTTTTACTTGAAGGTTTGAATATTCAATTTTTTCCCCTTATTGACAAGAAAGAAATTGCTTTAGAAACTTCTAAAACGTTATTCTGCCCTTCAGAAAGTAAATTTGCAATAAGTTTGGTCATTACAATGCACATGGATATCTTATGCTAATTTTAATGATGTCTCATTGCTATATTCTCTTACTTTCATGCCTTGATAGAGGATGTCATCTATCCCATTAACTTGTCATGGCCATTGCCTGCAGGGACTGTCTTAAGTCTTATCATCCGGACTGTTTAGGCTAAGATGATTCTCTACTGGAAAGTAAAGATCAGTGGGCTTACGGTAAGTTACTGTTATCATTGGTAATAATTTCTATGTTCATTCTAATATAGTCACCTTTCAGGATTTAGACTTTGCTACATTGGAAACTCCATTGACATATTTCAAACTCTACAACTGATTCTCTTTACAGAAAAAATAATTTTATTTCTTGTAGTACTGTAAAACAAAAGGCACAAATTGAGCTTCAAGACACCACTGTACTTGATCATTGAACACCCCATCTTTGACTTCAGCTCTAATTTTTTCAAACTCATCACTACGCCAACATCAATTTCAAATCGGAAAAATTTAGTGTGTATAAAATAGTAAAGCAAAATCATTACTGTAAATGTGATAATCATCCTCTGGAATGCAGTGTGAAATCAATGAACAAACAACTCAAAAGCAAACATAAATTCAAAAGCAAAACAACTCATAAGCATAACAATAAGTTTGCGAAATTACTGTGCAACCTAAATGTCTAAAGTTAATCCTCTGGAATGCAGCGTCAAAGGGATGAAAGAAGAGATGAAAAACTCACCAGTGGCTGCAAGAACACGGGATGAAGCCTGTCAGTTTCACGGTGGTGGCTGGTGCGATTTGGGGGTTTACGCTTCAGTCAATTTCAAGGTTTGAGGGATGAAATTCCGGTTTGTGTGACTGTTTTTTGGGTTGGCGAGAAGGGCGACGGCAATGGAGAGGACTGATTTAACCGCGAGGTCATTGGTTCCAAGGTTACGGTTCTTTGTTGGGTTTGCGATTTGGGAATTAGGGGCAATGAAATTGATTTGGGGAAAAATTGGATGTTTTACGATTTTGCACCTTGGGGTGGTAAGTGTCATTTTTTTAAAGTTTTTTCACTGCCATATAATAGTTTAACACCTCATGTTTTATAAAACTCACCAAAGCACCCTGCATAAGTGCATAGTGTATACGCAAGCCAGCCTAGGCTCGCGAGCCCATGAGCCGAGCTCCCCCATGTTCAAACTTGACTCGGTTAATAAACTGAGTTCGAGCCGAGTCACGAGCTTCAGACGAGTCGAGCCAAGCCGGCTCGTGAGCCACTTGACTTGTTTGACAATCTACTAATGAACTTCATCAAGTTCATCAAGTGCCTCTTTTAACGAACGTTATACCTCCTAGACAGACTTACTTGCCCACTGCACCCAATTATTCAGTCTATCCACTTCCTATTAAACCTAGTGATGGATATTTTTCTCCTGCACATCCAAGTAATTTTGGTGGGCCTTTCGGACCTACTGTGACACATTACAGACCATCAAGATTTCAGTCCTATGGAAGAGGTCATGGTAGAGGTACTGGTAGGGGTAAACCAGTATGTCAGGTATGCAACAAGGTAGGACACACAGTAGTGCAGTGCTATCATAGGTTTAATTCTACCTATAATGAAACTCCACCTCAGATTGGTGCATCCTTACCTCAGTTTGGAGAGTCTGGTTCTAGATCTCAATCTGGTGTTACTGGTGGCAATTCTTTTGGAAGTAATCTGCCCTTTGGAGGTCATACTACCTTATTCTCCACTTCACAACAAGTTTCTCCACAGTCATACTATCATGTCCCTAATCAGTAGTCACACTTCATAGTCCCTAACCAGCCAAGTTTTCCAGTCCCTAGCCAACAAACCTACTTACCCAATCAAGTCTACCATACGACATCTTTTTCCACTCCACAACCAACCCCAACACAAACCAATCTCTTAGTTCCTAATGTCCAAACACAACAACCTAGTCAGGATTACTTAATCTCTCACCAATACCTTACTCAACCTTCAACCTCACATACACCTATGACTATTTCCTCCACCACACCACCTAATCTAGCTTGGTACATAGACTCAGGAGCAACTGACCATGTTACCTATGATCCTCATCACTTAGTAGCAAGCAGTGGCTATGATGGTATTGATCAACTACAAATTGGGAGTGGTGAGTCTCTAGACATATCCCATGTTGGTTTCACTTTATTACCCAGCTCATTACATTCTAAATATGTATACCTAAGAAATGTCTTATGTGTGCCTAGAATAACTAAGAATCTCCGTAGTATCTCAAAATTTACAAAAGATAACAATGTGGTGGTGGAATTTAACTCTAATTGCTGTCTTGTTAAGGACAAGGACACCCGAACAGTGCTTCTGCAGGGAGGACTTAAAGCTGGCTTGTATCAGTTGCACATCCCCTCTACCTTGCCATCTACTCATGTGTTTTCACATAATCCCTCTAGCTGTCCTGGATAGATAGTTTCTCCTCATTTAAACCAACCATATTTCCATTCCCAAGATTTTAGTTCCACAGTTATGAATAAGTCTTTGAACTCTAGCATTACTCCTAAGTGTAACTTGAGTGTATCTGCTGCTACTAATTGTAAATCCAGCACTCTTGATTTTAGTTTACAGCCAAGTAGTTTGACCAATAGTGAAATTTCTGCTTCTAATTGTAATTCAGCTTCAATAAATAAAAGTTCTCAGTGTAATTTGAATAAAAATACTCTCTCTGATTCTGATTTGTGTACATTGTCTGCTTTATCACATAGTGATTCTAATTCTAATTCTGCTCAGTCTACTGTGCCTGTTGCAAATAATTGTGCTTCAACATCTCAATGTAATTTGAAAGAACAAAATGCTTCTGATTTCTCTACATTGTCTGAATCATCACTAAATACCCATAATCACCACTCTGATCAATATTGTTTGTCTGCCAAATTTGATTCTGCTCGACATTCTTTAATTACTGCATCCACTTCTCCTATATTGTCTTCAGTAATAAATTGATTACCTACATCCACTCTTCAAGACAGTAGAGATTATTACCAACACAATAGGAAATTTTTAAACCAAATCTATGAAGAAGAGACAAGGCACGTTTTCAACTACCAAGTGTAAAAATTCCATTGAGTACTTGAGTATCTTCCTCTTCATATATAACCTGTTGATCTCCAGCACCTCTGACGACTCCATCCACAATCAGACACTTCATAATGAATTTCTTCTTCACTGTCTCTATTGTTATGGTTGCATACAAAAACCATATCACTTATAGTAATATTGCCTTTATCTATATTCTCAAATGTGAATTGCTCAATGGCAAGTTGTCCATTGGATTGTCCCTGCATGTTGATTCTATAAATGCATCAATTACTATAGTCACAAGAGCTATAGACAATTGGACTACATGGAACTTCAGAATATGTGGAAGAGCTGTAGGGGTTGTAATTTGGTTTATAATATATTCCTTGTATATTTGTCATATACGGCTCTTAAGTAACCCATTTAGATGTGGAACGAGAGGCTCGCCAATAGTGAAATTTACAAAAAATCCTTTGTAGAAAAAGTTGTAAATTAGCTCAAGCTTCTTGAGTTTTGGAAGGATTTAGTATGTGTTTAGCACGATCTTGATTGGTGTGATTAGTGTTCTGTGACACATTGGTGTGATTAGTGTTGTGTGACATGAAATCTTGGTGGAGAAGTTCGAACACCAATTGTTTAGGTTTCATGGTGGTGGTGTTGTTAATAATGGCGATTAAAGTGAAATGGGTACTTGAGAGAGTAATGAGTAAACAAATGATTATGGTAAGTGGAATTGCCATATCAATGAATTCTTGGTATGATTTTGCTTCTTAGGTTTAAAGGATTGTATAAGAAGATCACTTTATGAAGATTTTAGCTCAATTTATAGAGATTAGTTCTATTAGTTAAAGCAAGTTAGTTCTTAATTGGTTAGTTCATGCCTTGGTCAATTTAAACAAAATTAGTTATTAAACTGTTAGTTCATGGTTAGTATAAAGAAATTATATGTTAATTGTTAATTAGTCAGTTCATGTTTAGTATGAAAGTGTATTTGTACTTAAGATTAATAAGAATGGTAGCTAAGATTAGTTTATAAAAATTATGCAGATGAAAATGATGGATTAATAGTGTAAACTCCTAGCTAAAACCCTTCTAATTTCCTCATTCATTATAAAAGTATCTCTACTTCTATCTACTTCAATATGATTAAAATCATGATGAATTATGTGATATTGATTAGAGAAGAAAAATATATTAGCATG